GCTGTGCAGATGGATATGGAGAATTCCTGTGTGGAAACTGAAAAATTGGCAGTATTACCCAACCATCTTGCAATATAATATCTTCTTTGCTAACATGCAGAAACCTAAACTTGGGTACAATGGCAAGTGTTAGTGTCAGTATGTAATGGATGAAATAACTACTATTTATTAAACATTCATTATGTGTAAGACACTGTGCTAAGTGCTTTGCAAGATCATACTTGATCCTCACAATAGCCCTTTGAGAGAAGCACTATTATCATCCCATTTTGCAGATAAAGAAAACTGAGGCTCATGTAGTTTTTAAAAGTTGCCGATGGCCCCACAGCTAGGAAAATGGCAGAGCTTGGATTCAAACCAAGTGCTTCTGAGTCCTGAGCCTTTACTCTTACCCACAATGCCAATAACTACAATGCCCGTCTGGTGCCAGGCTGCAGCCACGGCCAGAGAAAGCCTTCACAGCTCCTCCGTGGAAGGAGGAAATCAAGGACAATGTGGGCTTTTCATAAAACTAAATTGATTCCATTTAAATGACTCTCTTTTTGTCCTGAGATTCTCCCTACTTTTTTGGCATTCCATGTTTCCTACTTAATAACAGTGCCAAAAGATTTTTTTTCTTATTATTCTTATAAAGAAAATACAGGCATATAGTAAAATATCCAAATAGGAAAAAGGTTATAAAATTCAAGTTCTTCCTACCTTTCTTGTGCAGTCCCCACCATGGATGTAACCACAATGACTAGTTTCTCATGTATCCTTACCGTGTGTGTGTGTGTGTGTGTATGTGTGCATAAAATTTCTAAGAAATAGAGGTGGAATTTACACTCTACAATACGGCTTTGTATCTTATTTTTTATCTTAGTAAATATCTTGGTATAATTGGGTCTATTTAATTATTGAGGGGGTGGGGAGAGTGTTTTAAGTCCCTACTCAGCTAGCTACAGAACTGGAGAACTAGTGTTTATGCACTGGGCTACAGCAATAAGCAAGAAAGCCATGGTCCCTGCCTTCAGGGGGCTAAGATTGTAATGGGAGAGATGTCACACAACAAGGATAAAATAGTATAATTGCCTATTGTGATGACTGCTCATAAAAAGACATTTAAAATAGGGGAGGGGGCTACCCTGTGGGGAAGTGGCATTTAAATGAAGACTTCAAGGATGGAGCCAGCCATAGGAAGAGCAGGTGGAACAGCATTGCAGGCAGAAGGAACTACAAATGTCAAGACATCCAGGCAGGAGGGAACTTGGCTTGTTTGAGGAACCTCAGGAAGAATAACAGAGGCAAAGACATGGCAGGGGCACTGTCAGAATGCACTGGGCAACTGGTGAAGGGCGTTAAGCAGGGTGTGGCATGGTCTGCTTTGGGCAGATGCTCCCTAGAGAATTAGTGGGTTAGGGACTGGCTCCGAGGCCAGTGAAGCACATCAGGCAAATGATGCTGGTGGGTGGCTTGGTCTGGCTGCTGGCCGTAGGAAATGAAGCAAACAGGACAGATGCTAAGTATTTATTGGAATCAAAAGAAAATGTTTCAATGATTGGCCAGCTTGGAGTGCAGGGAGAGGAAGGGAGAATCGAGGGTGGTACAGGTTGCATAGTTTATGGATTCAGATGTCAGAGAAGGTTTTAACTTGGTCAGCAATACCTCTAGAGTACTCAGAGAGCTGAATGTTGCTATCTGGAGAGTTGGAAAGTTATAGACCTGCAATTTTAAATATGGCGGTAGAGGGGGTTTAGGTAGATTTGGGTATGGAAAAGAATGTTACAGTTACTGCCTCAAGATGCCCATTTTATTATTTTTTTAATATATTTTTATTGATTACAGAGAGTAAGGGAAAGGAAGAGAGAGATAGAAACATCAATGATGAGAGAATCATTGATCAGCTGCCTCCTGCATACCTCCCATTGGGGATGTGCCCACAACCAAGGTACATGCCCTTGATCGGAATCGAACCTGGGACCTTTCAGTCCACAGGCCGAGGCTCTATCCACTGAGCCAAACCGGTTTCAGCAAGATGCCCATTTTAAAACCTAGCCTTTCTTAAAGGCTTTAAGTTCCACTTATAATCTTATTATTCCATAAATCTAGTAACTTTTCATATGAAAATAAGAACAATTATGTCTATCTGTTCTTTGATTACTGTTCAATTAATTCTTACATTCAATTAATTAGTAGAGTCAGTCCTCTTTAAACATTTAAGACTTTCAGCTTTAATTAATCAAATTTCCTTAAATATTTCAGGCTACAGTTACAAATTTAATGGATCCGATTGTCTAAAAACACTTTAAATGCCTAACATAGCAGATTTACAAATCTAAAAAGCAACACCTTTTCTAAGCACTTAAGCATCCATTGTAAATTAATAACCTAGATAAAGGTAGCAAGTCAGATTCTCTTGGCCATTTCAATAATCTTAAATCCAACACAAAGCAGAACAAGAATCACAGAAACTTCTCTCCTGTATTCCTTTCTTCTTTCTCTGAATATTTATATTTCCTTTCTGGAATAACAGATTTTTTTTCAAATATTGCTATTTGGAACCAATCTGCTTCACAACCTGGGGAAAGCTTATGATTAAAACATTCCTTGAGGACTTCAAAAGTGCACATAAAGAGTAGTTTCAAAGCCTGGGTCCCTGCCCTCAAAAATATAGAGAGGCTAGGGGTATCATTCTGGGTCCAGCTAGGAGAAACCACACAATAATTTGGGAGGCAAAGGGTGATAGAAAGATGTACTAACTATATCAGGGAACTGTTGAAAACAAGGCGGTGCAGAGGAAGAAGTAAAGAGAACTCGAAAGAATATACAGGCACAGCAGATATATGAAGCCAGCACCCCCAAGGCTCAGATAGAGCACGTGAGGAAAAGGGCCCCTGTCCCTTCCCCAGCCTGCCCCAGGGGAAGCTGGGACTGAAGAAGCTGCAGGGAGTGCAATAGCCTGACACTGGATACAAATGCTGTTGGAAAAAAATATCTAAGTGCAAAATGTATGTAGAAAATGTAGCGTTCTTACCCACACCATCAACTTTGGAACCAACATCACACACTAACTTGTACAGATGCCCAGCTGTTTTCTGTGTATATGTCTGAGCTCCCCTGTTTAAAAAATATATATATATTTCCTTTTAAGAAGTATGCTTCACCCTCCTCCTGTGGCCAACCTGAAATGAGTATACACAATATGGCCAATAATTTTCTTTTGAATGTATGAACTCTGAAGGATGAATGCTATTAAACTGTACCTTTTTTTCCCATTCATTTTTTTTATCCTTTTTCCCCCTACTATACAAGCAACAAATATTTATTGGGGAAAATGCAAAGCTAGAACAAAAGTAGAAAAATATTAACCATATTTCTGCTACCCAGAAATAAATACTACTAGCACTTTGGTTTATTTCTTACATACAAATAGTGGTTTTTTTCCTTCTTATTTTTTAAAACAGAGATGTATAATACATGCATTATACCTCATATTCAACTTTATATCCTGCATTTTTAACAACATACAGTATTTCTCCAAGTCATCAACTCTTTGTTGGAGACATGGCTGAATTATTATATATAGAAAATGTTTACACTGATGTTGAAACTACCTTGAATGTTGAAAATATGACTGCAAAATATCTCATTCTGAAGATGTTACATAGTTTATTTAACCACTTCCCTTGTGGAAGTTTTAAGGTATTTTTCCTATTATAGATAATCCCCTAATGAATATTATTGTTTAAATTTTTCTCTGGTAGGCCAATTTTCTAAAATGTCCCACATGTGAAATCACTACTAGAGGGTACAAATACATGTAAGGCCACTGAGGAACATTGAAGATCACAGGGCATCTACTTCTAAACATGGAAACTAGTAGCTTTCTTTCTTTCTCTTTTTTTTTTCCAACTTGATAGAGCCAGAAGCCTCTCCAATTCCACCTACTACTATCAAAACAGGTGCACAGGCTCACCTAACACTCCCTGCCAAGAAAATGCTACCCAGCTCTACATGATTGCTCGACTTCACAGACTCTTGCTAGTCATTTGGAGCCTTCCACCCTCAAGCTGCCCAGTGGAGAAGTAGCCTGCCTAGGGGTGCTAGACTGGAGGATTCCCCTATCGGCCCTCCTGGGTATGTGTGACACCCTGGAAACTGAACCCCACGCCCAGAGGCTTGGCAGGGCATTGTCGCCTCGCAGGTAGACCAGGAGGCTTAAAGCAATAAAAGCTGCCGCTTCCAGAGCTGCAGGAAGGTCCCAAGACCACCGCAATCCCTCCCCTCACGCTGATCTTGGCCCTTAATTCGCCACCCCCAGCCTTCTCACCATCTGCTCCGCAGCCCCAGCCCTTCCTACCTACCGTCCACCTAATCCAACCTCCAGGCCTTACCCCGACTTCCGATTCTTCCGAGTAGAGGGATCACCCACGCCCCTGGGGGTCTCCTCTTCCCCTCCCTTTCTCTTCCCGCGCCAACCGGGCCAGGCCCAGACTCCACAGATGGGTCTCCGCCGCCCTCAAGCATCCTACCGCCTTGCAAGACTCGCCATCAGATCCCCATCATCCCCTCTGCACGTCTTTCCTTCTACCTCCGAGTTTGTCCTGTCTCTCCTGCCATGACCGGCTTTCTGTCCTCTTTCACCCACCCTACCTCCCACTGGTCTGTCTGCGGGTCCTTCTGTCCCCGATCCTTCCGTTTCACCCAGTCGGTCCCCCTCAAGGCCGTACCTCCACCCCGCATTAGGTCCCCCCTCATAGGCCCCTCCCCGTGTCCCTCTGCGCCCCCGCCCACGTCCGTACTCCCGCCCGTCCCCTAACGTGATCCTCCGTTCCCGCAGTCTGGCCTTCGGTCCAGGCAGGTGCCCGGTCGCCACCTCTCCCGGGACCAGTACACTCTGCGGCCCCGATCCCCTCTCTCAACCCGGGAACTCTTCCCTCTTCCACTTTCTCTACTTTGAACCCATCCCAGCAGAGTCCAGGAAGTAGCCAGGCGCCGGGGACTGGCGGCTGTGCGGACCAATGGGGAGCTCCAGCGGCGGCGGCGGCCCCGCCCAGAGATCAAACCCTGCCAATGGGCGGACGGAGGCGGGACTTCCGCTGTCCCGGGGAGGGCGGGGGGGCGGCGAACTGTTGTGGTGCGGAGCGTTGGGCGGGCGGCGGCCGGGTGGCCCAGGGGCTGCCGCGGGACTTGGGGCGCAGCCGAGCGGCTGCAGGGGTGGGGCGGGCCGGACGTGCTGCGGGGCCCCGGGCACCGCGGGTTCGAGGCCGGGCCCCGCGCGGGGAGGCCGCGCCACCCGGAGGGAGCTGTGCTGCCCGGCGGCGAGTTTGCTCCGCAGCCGAAAGAAGGCGGGAGTCGGCGGGTCCCCAGAAACCGGCTGGCCGCCCGGGCCCGGAGCCCCCGGGGAGCTTGTCCCTCCCCGGGACGCCCTCCCGGACGCCCCCGCCGAAGGGTGACGGCGCTGGGCTCCCGGCCGGAGGAGCCTCCAGGTGACCCCCGGCGGGGCCCTGCGAGCTCGGGAGCCAGCCCCGGGGCCTGGAGCCGGGGAGGCAGGGGCTTTCCGGAGGCGCGGGGCCGGGGGGCCGAAGGAGCCGGGACGCGGCGGAGCGGAGCCGGGCCTCCCGGGCGCGCGGCGGGGCAGCGCCTGCTCCGGAGACACAGACTCCGAGACCCTCGGGCGCGGGGGCCGCGGCGACCGCCCCGCGGGGTGGCCTACAAGGGCGCCTACCCCCGGGAGGCCGGCCGGGGCCGGGGAGATGAACGGCTTCAGCACGGAGGAGGACAGCCGCGAAGGGCCCCCCGCCGCCCCCGCCGCCGCCCCGGGCTACGGCCAGAGCTGCTGCCTCATCGAGGACGGCGAGCGCTGCGTCCGGCCGGCGGGCAACGCCTCCTTCAGCAAGAGGGTCCAGAAGAGCATCTCGCAAAAGAAACTCAAGCTGGACATCGACAAGAGCGTGAGTGCCCCGTCCCCGGCAGGGTCCCCGCGCCCGATCGCTCCCGGCTGCTGCCCCCCCGAACTCCGGGCGGGACTCCGGGGCCCTCCCCGGCGCGGGCCTCGCCGCCCTGGAGCCGCAGACGAGGAGCCAGACTGGGGATTTCAAAGGCCGGCTCCGCGCCGACTTGCTTGCTCTCCCTAGGATTCTGCCCAAATGGGGGAGGTTGGGCGGGGGTTCCGGAGACCCTTCCTGCCCGGGAAGATTGACAAGTTTTCAGCTCGTTTAATTGGTGTAGACGTCGGAGCAGGGAGAGGAGAAGGAGCAAGTGTTGGGGAAGCGGTGATGAAGGCACCCGGCTCTTCTCCAACTTCTCGGCGCCCTGTGATTCCTTCGGGAGAGGAGAGGTGGCAGTTACTTCCCGGTCTGCCGCGGCCTCCGCTTCTGCAAAGGGTCACGGAGCTACTGCTTCGCAGGCAGCTGCAGGGAAACGGGGTTCTCTAACGCGTGGCAGGAATAAGGCCAAGACCAGGGTGCTTCGGAAGTGGCTTTTGCAGTCGAAGTGACTGGAAGCAAGAAAATGCATTTTCTTAGGGGTTAACTTCTTTAGAAAAGCCCAGTAGGGAGGAGGAGGAAGGGTGTGTGTGTGTGTGTGTGTGTGTGTGTGTGTGTGTGTGTGTTTAACTTGACTAGAATCCCCCTGTGTTTTGTGTCTTAACTATAGGAAACTTTTCCTGTGTGATTTCACCTCCTCTAGTTAACAATTCTGAAGATGTGCCTGCAGTCAACCAATTAGACACGTTTAGTTTGACATCTGTTGCTTCTGCCTCTTGATTATGAGTTGGAAATGCGTTAAGGGGGTATTTAATATTCAGGTAGACCTGCTAACATCCATTCTCTTTTAGGACCAAAATTTGTCCAGTGTGGAGGAAAGTCAGAGATTGTTTGTTACAGTGAAGGGACTCCCACTTTCCCACTTCTGATTTGCAGTTGAAACGGAGGCCCAGAGAGAGGCAGTGACAGTGCCAAGGTCACTCAGCACCTAACAGCCTAATTTCTTAACCCCATTATCTGATTTACTTCCAAGACCTATGCTTAGTTAAGTGGATAAATTAAAAAAAAAAAAAAAAATTAACCCTGTTCTTTCTTCCAGGCTCTTTCCTCCCACCCTCATTTTTTTTTAATTAATTATAATGCATTTACAATTATTGAATGGAAAGATGTTATTTTTAAATGGTCAGGGTGGATTAATGGCTTTATTATTACGATTCTCTATGAATGAATGAGAGCAAACAAACTAACTAGATACTTAGGTGGTCTGGATTAGGGCACATGTTGAAGTGAAATGCTTAATTCTAAGCAATGAACTCAGCCGCTTGAAAACGCTGCTTACCTTCTGTGTAGGTTGTTGGGAGCCTTCACTTGAACAGCTTATGGTAATTATATTTCCCAATCCTTAAGAAAAAGAATTTTCCAGTTCTTTTAAACCCTTGGAAGCTGTCACATCTGAATGATTGTGCTGCTGCGATTGGGGCTTCATTTACCCAGTGACCCCACTGGAAAAACCTGTGCTGAGCCACGTAGAGTGTTTCTCACACACTGTCTAGAAGAGAAGCAGCCTAAGCCTGGCACTGACTTCCCGAAAGGCAGTGCGTCTGAAGGAGTAGCATTCGAGGTGGAATCGCTCACAGTTCGTTTCAAGGTGGTGTAGAGTCATTATTTCTGAAAGGGATTCTATTTCATTCTCACAGGCTTAGGCAGGAATTCAATTCTAAGAAACTGCTGTATTACAGGATTGTTTAGCTGTTGTAGAAAATGAAACAGGAAAAATAAACACTACATCCCTTGCTACCAACCCTTCTTTCTCCACCCACCCCCAAAGGCCACTGAGCTCTGAAATTTCTGAAAACCAGTATGTACTTGAAAGTGGTTAAGTAGAAATAATAACTATTTATCTTGTAAAAGGGTGTAGCAGGAAGCTTTTTTAAAGAATAGCACCAAAAATCCAACTTGGGCAGCTTTACTCATTTTATATAGATATTGGCAGTGTTCTGTGATTTATTAAGATACTAGTGGCGTGGTGCATGACATATGTGCACTGGGGGGTTAGGATTCCCTCACCCCAGCTGTGCCCTCTTGCAGTCTGGGACTCCGAGGGGTCCTTAGTGCTGCTGCGGAGGCGGGACCACCATCACTGCTGTGCTTGCCAGCTTCTGACTGGGCGGCACTGACCACCAGGGGCAGCTCCTGTGTTGAGCATCTGCCCCCTGGTGGTAGAGCGTGTCATAGCAACCAGTTGTTCCACCATTTGGTCCATTTGCATATTAGGGTTTTATTATATAACATGCTTTTAAACAGTCCTCAATGGACATATTTTGGCTTTTTTTTTTTTTTTTTTTTTTCTGGAGAAAAGTGGGAGTATAAAGAAAATACTGGAGTAAGAAAGAAACATGTGCCATGGGTCAAAAGGCCTGAATGGCCTTGGCCAGGTCGTTTTCTTACTCTGGGTGGCTTCAGATTATCCCTCTAGATTAAAATGAGATTGGGACTAGTGAGGTTGCACTGGTGATTGCCAAGTTTTCCTCCATCTAGCTTTTCATTATTCTGTTATCTTGACCTGAAATCTCCCAGCCACAACTCTCGGAAATAATCTCTTCTCCTACGAAGTTTGTCTCTGTGAATTTAAGGAGCAGTTCAGTCTCTTGGGTTTTACATGCGGAACTGGCTAACATGTATCATGCTGAGAGTTGCGCTCTTCCCTGACAATGTCCAGTAGTATATATAGCAAGTAGATTATCTGGGAGAGTGACACATTGCTGTGTCAGAAAGACCTTTTTTTCAGAGTTGGATCTGGCAAAGCTGTCCCAATTTGTAACCTTATGTAAATGGTGACTTTTACTAGCCTAAGCTGCTTTTAGATGCAAGGGACGCTTATGTTGATGGAACAACTTTTATTGAGCACCTGCTATTTGTAAGACACCATCATAGTGTAAGAAACGACTCCTGACTCACTAATCCAACCACATGGAAGTGGTATTTCGTTGGAATAAAAGGCAGTTTTTGTTATTTTCTCCATGAAAAGGCCTGAATTAATTGATGCTGGTTTCCTATCAGCTTACTCTTCTCTTTAAGAATTTAAAGAATAAACTGAAATTCAGAAGCCTTTCGAGAACATCTGTGCAGCATCTGTTTCAGTGTCAACAGCCCCAAGTCATTTCCACAGGCATTGGGTTTCTGTTAGGTTTTTGAATGTCTCCCCCTACCCACTCCTTCCGCCACCCCCCCCCGCCCCCCCCCCCCCCCCCCCCCCGTCAACCTGGTACCAACATTCTTAAATAAAAGCATATTCACATCTCAGCTGCTGTGCCGCCTTCACTATTACTCTGCCTCCAGCCTGTATTAGAAAGTCAGCAGCAGGGCCTGTGAGAATGTCTGCATCTCTCTCCACTTCTCTTTGTGGAGCAGCTTTGAGGTAATTCAATCATTGGAAACTGATGCTCAGAAATAAAGTATTTCAGAGAGTTGTCATCCTGTTACCAATGTCAAAATAGTGTGTCCCGTATCCCATTATCATAGACTCTCTACTGCCTTTTTTTTTTTTTTTTTTTTTTTTTTTTAAGTTCATAACTCCTAAAGGTCTGAAAATGTCATGTCACTCTCAGTTTCAAAAACCTTGGGGGACTCTGTCTCATCTGAAGGAAAGTCAAAGCTGTTTGATGTGCACCCCAGCCCCCAATTTCTCCCTACTTGGGCAGTGATCTCCAGCTAATACTGTCTACCCTGGGGCTCCTTCGCTCATGCCTCTGTCATCTTCACCTGAAACTCTGAGTCTTGGCTCTTTGCATCTGGAATGCTTCCTGTCTATCCGCAAATCCTCCCTTATAGTAGGGGACCTCCCCCTAGTGATCTCTGCTGTGGGATCTCTCCTTGCTGAAGGTGGCCACAGGTTTTCAGGGAGGACTTGGTTTCCAATACACTCCCAATGTGATGAGAGTATACTCTTTGTGGGTGCCTTGTTCTGCAGTTCAGTAGGGAACGTCTGAAAATATGGCCTGCACCTTGTTCTTCCTTCTCGCTCTCCCATGCCTGGAAAAGGAGAGAAGCCCGTTAAATTGACAGATGCTCTTTCCATGGAATTGGCAGCTCTGACTTTTATTTGCTTCCCATCAGGTAAGGCACTTGTATATCTGCGATTTCCACAAAAATTTCATTCAAAGTGTACGAAATAAAAGGAAGAGGAAGACAAGTGACGATGGAGGAGATTCTCCTGAGCATGACACTGACATTCCTGAGGTAACGGTCAAAGACATCAGCTTGAAAAAGCTGGAAGGGCGGGTTCTAATCTGGTCCTTGCCTCCGGCCGGGTTTGCTTTTTGTGCTAAAAAGTCATTTTAGTCCCTTTGTTTTGCTGTGGTTTATTTGAAAAGTGAATCCCAGAATCTGAGTAATGCTGAATCTGAGAGCTGAACGCTTAGAAATCGCCTGGTCTGACTGCCCCATCATTTTGCAAATGGGCACAAGGACCTGAAGTCACACAGACAGTTTGGGGGCTCCAGTCTAGTGCCCTTTTCAGTAGGCCACACTGCCTTTCTTAAAGAAAACGCTGGCAAATGGTTATATACAACCACAGTGTCAAGTTTTTTCAAACTTTATTTTTGTCTTAATGTTGGAGACTGAGTTTGAATGGTTTGGGGGAAGTCCCTCCCTGCTTCCTCCCCACTCACTCCCCCACCTCCTCCACCCCGGTTTCTAGGCTACAAAATGAAGGCATACATCATCAGTTCATCCCAGCTCTGATTTTCTATCACTCTCCAATTCCTGGTCTGGGCTTATTTCCAAGTCATTATAATGGACCAGGGATTCTCAACCCTGGCACTATTGACATTTGGGGCCAGGTAATTCTTGTTGTAGGGGCTTCCTGTAAATTGTAGGATGTATAGCGGTATCCCTGTATTCTACCCACTGGATGCCAGTCACACTACTCCCTGAGTCTTGATGATAAAAAATGTCTACAGACATTGCCAGATGTCCTCGGGGTAAAGGTGGGAGACAAAATTGCCCCATGTTGAGAATACCGCACTAGACGATGAGACATAGGCTTCTCAAACCAGAGACCGCCTTTCCTTCAGGGGCCAGAGTCCATTAAACAGGCTGCAGGAAGGAATATCGGATTCTTTTTCTACTTAAATTGTTTTCACTTAAGACTCAGCAAAGAAGAGCCGTTTATAGTGTACATTGAATATTTGACACATGAATATTTCATAAGGCAGTGGCCTGTTAGCACTCAGTGGAAATGACTGTAGGAACAGAAAGAGTAGGTGGGGTGTTGTCTGCAGATGAGGAAACCTTTGAAAATATAGCCCTTTCCCTCTGCCCCTCCCTATGTCCCCTTTTTAAACATTGGTTTAATGTATCTTCCAATTGCCTCTAGCATTATTAAATTTTATAAAGAAATGGATGTATTCAATTTCTAAATGCTTTTCACAAAATAACAAAGAAAAAGGTTTGAGGAATGTTTTGAAAAGAATGAAGGACTTTGGTCCCTCATATTGATCATTCATTTTGTTTTTAAGTGCTCTCCACCTGCCTGAAGCAAGAACATCTCTTTTAGAGGCAGGTAAAGGCAGCCCAACTTTCTGGGCCTTCAATGTTTCATGACTGTGCAGCTTTCCTCTCTTCTGTGTTAGGAGAAAAAGGGGGGGTCCTTTCCCCTTTGTTATCCAGTCATCTGCAGAGACCCTGACCCTAACCTGCTGATTTGTACACTCGCCACAGTAGCTTTCGAGCTTTCTCTGGAGGGTTGTTAAGGATTCTAATACCTGAAGGCTGAGCTTAGGAAATCACTCTTTGAGAATAACAGTACTTTCCACGGTTCTTCACGCTTCTCTATCCAGTCTGCTGCCAAACTCTGGCCTGTCTTCCTTCAGGATGTCTGTCTGGTTTGACTTTTGCTCATGCCTGGTCTCCCCCTCCAGCATCACCACCCCTCCAAAGTTCTGCTTCCTCCTTCACTTCTGGATTGTTGCTACAGCATCTCCCTCTGCCTGTCCACGCCCATCAAACCCCCTCTAGATCCATCTTCCTGGAACATCACCTGGCATGCTACCACCCAGTTTCACCATTTAAACCTGTCAGGATTGCCCGTGACCCCCTGGCTCATCTATTCATTTCCTTGCTTTCTCACTCATTCCCTACTCTTGCTCTGTCCCTCACTGCCTTTCTAAACCCTGCTCTCCTTAGTTAAGCTTCACTGCTTCCATCAGCCTTCTGGAATCACCCTTCCCCAGCCAGAACTCTTGTTCCACTGTTATTTTTGACCCCCCAGCTAGTTATTAGTCCTCAATGGACCATTTCTAAGACTTCTTTGAGTTCTGTCCACCCCACCCCTAGTGTAGTGCGAGGCACATAGTGGGCTCTCAGCAAGTCTTGGCTGCTCAGGTGATGGATAATGTGTTTCTCCTCTTCCCTCCAGGTTGATCTGTTCCAGCTACAGGTGAACACTCTGCGACGTTATAAACGACACTACAAATTGCAGACCAGACCAGGCTTCAATAAGGCCCAGTTAGCAGAAGTAGGTAGACAAAATTGTGCTCCCCAAAGAGAGAGCCAGTATTGTGCCTTTGATGGTGACCTTGATTCTCCCTCCTGCGCTCTGTGCCTATGGATCATAGTTCCCTCCATAGCTCTGAAAGCAGCTTTATAGTCCATCTTTTGCACAATTTAGAATCTCACATTTTAAGACTTAGAAAGGCTCTGGTTTTCATAAAAGAAACCATGGTATAGAGAGAGGAAAGGACTTGCTTAAACTCACACAGCAAATTGGTGTGATTCCAGAATTGAGACTAGAACCTCAGAACTCCTGATTCTAAGCCCTGAGTGTTCTTTTGTTTGTTTGCTTGAATCTTGTTTTCCAAGATTCTTTATAGATATGGTCCTTCCTGTGTATCAGATGTGTCAGATTAATCATCTCAGAACCTTCACTCATGTCCTATAGGAGCTATTTTTCTTCTTTTTTTCCCCCTTGATTTCTTCTATTCTGATGTTGGTAAAAGAAATACTTATTACAAGAATAGAGCCCAAGAAAGGTTTCTCCTGTCTTGATTTCTTAACATAGTTTGGATGGTGGAAAATGCTCCATTGGCTATTATTTTAATACTAGAGGCACGGTGCACAAAATTCATGTATGGAGGGTAGGGGGTGTCCCTCAACCCAGCCTGCACCCTCTCCAATCTGGAACCTCTCGAGGGATGTTCAACTGCCAGTTTAGGCCCGATCCCTGTGGGCCTAAACCGGACGTCAGGCAGTCGGACATCCCTCTCATAATCCAGGACTGTTGGCTCCTAACCACTCACCTGCCTGCCTGATTGCCCACAACTGCCCTCCCCTTCTGCAACCTGCCTCTTCCATGCCACACAGAGCCACAGGACCCCCAGGCCGCACTGCGTAGAGCAGCCACTGGGCCTTGCCACTGCTGTGTGCATGGCCATCTTGTGGCAATGTCGCACGGGGGTATCACCTAGACTATTATTAGATAAGATAATGATTGGCTTGATATTTCTGTCCTGTTGGCACTGGTGTGGGTACTCTCTCATCCTCTTTTCTGCTTATTGTAGAAAATTTGGAAAATGGAGAAAAGAAAAACACAACCCTACTATCCAGAGATAACCACTCTGTAGTTCTTTCTTATTTCTGACCTAGTCACTCGGTCTATTCAAAGATTACCTTAAAGGCTCACAGCCCCACTGGTTTTTGTCTTTCCTTTAGACGTAACTTGCTGATCTCTCATTTTTTCTTAAACTTCTTCACCATTATCCATAAAACATAGGAGCACACAAGCCTTTCCTACTTTAAGATTGCATTCCCCACTTGCCAATATTCACCCCTGGTGGAAGGGATAGGATTAGGTGGGGCAAGAGGAGACCTATTCTCGGGACTTGTAAAATAAAGCAAAGTTTCAGGAATAGAGAGTGAATGGTTCATTTTTATTCAAATCTGGTGTATCTTTCAAGATCAATTCTTGGGTCACACACTTACATCTGTTCAGTAGGCTACTCATTTGACATAATTTTTTAAAAGACACTTTTTGCCAAGTACCAGGGCCTGAGAGGTTATGGTAGCAGCTGGCCAAGCAGAGCAGTCCTGGTCTCTTCATCCATGGAGTGACCTTGAGATCATGATGGGCAGCTGGCTGCCACTAAAATAGAAAGAACTGCATCTTGGGAGTATTGAGGGTTAAAGTCCTGCTTTGGAAGCCTGGAAACCAGTCACCTAAACCCCAGGAAATGGGTAGTCGGAGTTCTGCAGCTCTGCAGAGAGTTCTGTGGTGATCTTAACCTCCCCCATAGCTCTGGCATCAACTTCCTGGTTCCTCTTTTGCACAATTTAGTCTATGACCCTGATTTATGCATGCTTTTGGTGTGTGTGTTTTTTTCTTTTCCTTTTTTTTTTTTTGCTTCCATGTAGACTGTCAGTCGACATTTCAGGAACATACCTGTGAATGAAAAAGAGACCCTTGCCTACTTCATCTACATGGTAAAGAGTAACAAGAGTAGACTGGACCAGAAGTCAGAAGGCGGCAAGCAGCTTGAATGAGGATGAAGCACATCTTCCAGGAATGAAATATAATGTTTAATGCACAGGTGATATCTGCTACATTTAAGCCCATAAAGACTTACAAGTTTTATTATAAATAAAAATGTTTGAATGATAAATACTGTAAATCTTTTTGGTCAGGAGGGTTATATTCTCCTGATTCAGCATGTATATACAAAGACTTTCTTTTAAGGCAATTACTGGGCTGAAACAAACAAGATCATAAAAGAATGAAAGAAAAATTATGTGTTGCAGCATTTAAAACAGCATTAAGTCGGTGCTACTGGAAATGAGGGATACAAATATTTTGGTAATCACCTTATAAGCCCACACTGCCACGTGTGAAATGTAGCCCCGTTATTGGCGGCAGAGTTCAGGTGATGGTGGAGGTGCGTGAACAGACCCAAATGTGCTGGGGACATGGGTGCCCCTCCTTGTTACAGGCTTTGTCGTTTATCAGCAAATCAGTTTGATCCTGGTCCCCCTCGCTACCGTAGGCACAGTAGGCACTCAATCAGTATCTGTTGGCTAATCGAGCTGTCACTAATAGTGCCAGCCTTGTAACATCTGTTCTGCTCCTCCAGTTAATGAGATCTCTGCCATTTCTATGGTTTACCACTTAACTTCTAGAGTGCGGAGGAAATCCTGATGAGCCAACAAGAGGTTTCAGCTCCAATTAGTACTTCAGGAAAGTCGCGTGTGCCGCACTGTGTCCGCGAAGACTCCAGAAATGCGAATGCAGAGACCCTCGCAGGAGATGCAGCTCTTTGTACACTCCTCTAAGCTTCACTCTTTGGGGTGAAGTTATGTAATCCGACTTAGGCCATTCTCCTGGGCCATAAATGCTTTGGCAAATGGAGATGCTTAGTGGTTTAGGGCTCACTTTCAGAAGTACTAACCCATAGTTCATACTCACCAAAAAAGCTACCAAGGACCATGTGATTCCTGCTCAGAAATCCAGCACTGGAATAGAAAGTCTGACTGGCCTGATGCCCTGCGCTCAGGGGTCAGCAACAGATCATAGGTTTAAGCAACGAAGGTCAGTGCCGTCTAATGTTCATTTTTATGAGCAATTTGCCTCCCTTTTAGGGAGAAAGATTGCTAAAATGATTTCTTAAGTATTAATACCTGATTTTTTTATGTTAAAAAACTCAGCTTCCTCTAATTATGTCACAGCCAAAGTATCCTTTGAAAACAAAGCTTTATATCCAAAAGTCTGCTTTTCCAAAATTTCCTAATCAATGTGTTGGGGGGCATAGGGTGTGGACAGTGAATGGGAGAAAGGGAAGAAAAAAGATGTAGATGCTAATTTCTGACCATCTTGACACACACTGGGGTCAAAAGTATCATTTTCTTACTTGGTTTTAAATCTGAGTTCTTTCTTAAGCCTTAAATGCTAAAAGGAGCAGTGGACAGCCTGGCCTAGCAGAGAATTAAATGTCTCACGGATGGCTTCATCTGAGTACACCACAGAGAAGTCAGAATGGAAATCCCTTCTGAGCAAGGCAGTGGAGCAGTGCCATGCTGTCTATGGACTGGAGACAGGGCCACCACTCACTAAAACTCCGTTTGCTCCTTGCAGCACGCTTTTACCCGTGTTCAAAATGCATGTCTAGCAGATGGCAGCCTTTTTAAATATGTATAAATGAATGTACATAGAAAATACTCTAGACTGTGAGGGGTCTTATTTTAATACACCTGGCTGTGAATGGCACGCCAGGGTGCTCTGAATGTTTTAGTCATTCTGATCCAATATGTATTTAGACACTGTCTCATAGCTGAAGGATCAAGAAGGCCCAAAGGTGTGTGGCTTATCTGGGTTTTATTCCTGAGGCTGAATTAGAAAAGCTTTGATGGTGTCTGACACCAAGCCCTCTTTTGTCAGGGGCTTTTTTTCTCATCAGACTGGAGTTTGAGGGCAGCTAGGCCTGCAGGCTAAGGCATTGGAAACCTGCCCTCTGGAAATGTCCCTATCTCATTAAGAAGGTGTATCTTCTGAAGTTTAAGCCAATGATGGATGTGTAGGTCACAACATCACTGTTCTAATGGCAAATCTGTTTTCCCAATGAGAGAGACAGCAGTGTACTTCTGTAAGAGCACAAGTGGGTTAAGATCCATCTGTTCACGTGTCTGTAAAAATGCTTCCGGTCCAAAGTAAAGCCCAGGGAAACTCCCCCTCAGCCAGATGCTGTGTGCACTTTGTCGCATGCTGTCTTTCCTCTAAAGAGAGCTAATTTTGGAAAATAGAAATTGTGGGTATCTTTTTCACCTTGGAGACGTGTTGGGTGAAAGAAAAAACAAAGCTGTCTGAACTTACTTTTGTCCTGTGTGCAGAAATCTGTTCTGTCATCAGACCGCTAAACCACTTGCCTTAGTCTCTTGTGCAGTTTCCGTGGCTTTTCGTGGCAGGAGGCTCTGCCTGTGGAAGTGGCTGAGCCCCCAAAGCAGCTGAGTCTGGCTTCAGGGAGCAGTGGGTCTGGGAAAGCGGTGTTTGCCTTGGCTGCCTGCATTTTTATGCCACCCGTCAAGGACTCTTGACTTTTGTGCTTCTCTCCACCTGTAACATTGCAACATTGCCTTCTCTCCTCTTGGTGCTCCTGGGCAAAACTGGAATTGGAAACAGAACTGGAGTTGTTTTCTTAAATCCTGCCTCATTTCCGGCCTGGTGTGGTTCTTCACATGCCCTGAAGGTTGTCACATGGAAATACCAATATCCTGCTATTCGTGTTGCTTCATTTTAAGGTTTTTAAAAAACAGAAAGCTCATTATATCAATGAACAAGCTCTTAGGTTGGCAACAACACCTGACAGTGATCACAACTGAATCCCACGAAAGGTTAAAGATTCAAGACTGGCGATGTGAAATAAAGAGGAATTTCACTTATGTGTTCCAGCCGCCACGTTGCTAGATGTTTCTGTCATGGCTGGATATTCACTGCTGGCCTTTCGGAGACAGAGATTTCTAATTGTTTGCTGTTAGAATGTTGCATCTAACCTTGGCATTTTAGCTGTTTATTTTGTGGACATTTTTCTGATAATATCCTAAACAACTGTCTGGTGGAAGGGAGAAGCTAAGAAAAGAAGCTCACTACAGGGGCCTAGCCTATTGAAATAGGTTGTCCCAACCCAAAGTAGCTGCTACTGGAAGTCATCTGAAGGCTCTCAATCACTACAATGGCAAGATCTAAAAGTTGGGAAAGGGACTTTAAGTCATTCCATCCAGTCTGCCCATAGGTGCTGACATTCTGCTTACAACCATCCCACCTAGGATTTGAACAACCTGGGCTTAAACACCTCTGAGGACAGAGAACTCACTACCTCCTGGGGGTATCTGGTTCTATCTTTGCAAACCTCTAGCTTTTCTTGGTTCTCTGTAACTTCCATCTGAGTCTCTACCCAATGGGGGCCACATGGAAGAAGTTGCTCATCTTGGCCAAGGATCTAATGGCTGGCATTGTCCCAGGCCATAGTAGGTGTCTTGTGAAAAGGAGCAGGTAGCAGATAGACACTTTGTTGTCCTCACTCTCCACACCCGAGTATTAGTTCATTTAGTTCCTTGTTGGAGAATGTTGAGGAAATCCCACCCACCTGGTTCGCTCACTTGTTCTTGATGAAGCTGATCGAGGGCATCAGCAGAGGCAGGGGTCCTATTGGCCTGATGAAAAAAAACTCAAGACAGAGTAGCCCTTGGTTCTGTATTTGTCCCACAAAAACTGATGCTCACAGCACTTAGGGAAGACCTTACCTAGAAAATCTTAAAATATTGCTCTGTGTGGAGTTGAAAGTTCCCATGGCTGCTGAGGGCTTGTACCTTAAGATTCCTATAAGTACTTCACATACTGTTTTTACCAAGAAACTGCTAAGGAACCTGGGGGAGTGGAAGCACCACATACCTTAATGTCAAAGTAGTAGTGTCATATTTTCAAGCTAGAAAGTCCTATAAGGTTGCTGTTGTCCAATTCACTTTAGAGCTAGGGAAACTAAAATCCAAAAACATTTGCTTGAGTTACAAGGCATTCTCTGGACTAATCTCTCGTCCTGCAGCATGACTGTAATCCAGTCTAAAGTGAACTGCCTCTGACTCTTGAGACCTTGCAACTGAGTAGAGGTTCCCAAAACCATCCTGCAGAACTCCAGGTTGAATGAATGATTAGAACTGAAGCACTCAGTTGAGTTTTGTAAAACAAATGGGAGCACTCAGTTGAGTTTTGAAAACGAACAGAACTAGCCTATAATTTAAGACTAGGATTCAGAAGGCCTGGCAGGCTTTAGTGTTGTCCTAGAATCTAAATTCTCATGAAGTGGTCTTGCTCTGTGATCTGTTGGTCAGACGGTGGCCTTTCAGGTCGTCGTTGGAGCTTGTGTGATTCCTTTGGCACTAATGGTCCAGACAGCTCTGTGGCCCTGTGATGCACAAGCATTCCAGCCTGTTTCTGGCCTAAGCAGCTGAACTAAAGGACAGGTGAGCTCGGGAACATGCCCTGGGAAGCATGGTGCTTTAGGGGTGCCTTTTTATTCCTTTCATTTTTATTACTGACCGTTTCCAATTCATGGTTAGGAAAGGTAAAGGTGATCTGATGTTTTCAGGTAGACTGGGGCAAGGTGGGACCTTTTCTTAAGGTAGAATGTCTACAATTAGTTATTTCATCTAGCTTGCATCTTAAAACAAACCCTCAGTTGCTTTCACTTAGTGAAAGCGTCTTTGCCAATGACAGGGTTGTACAGGATCCCTGTTTTACATTTCTATTATCCGTTATGCCCATCAGAGTGTTGGGGGTGTGGGTTTTCTTTCTATTTTGTAACTGCCTTATTGAAAAGCAAGTGCCCTTCCATTTCAAGCCTCCTCATATTGTACATGTTTCCTGCCAAGCGTGGGGGATCATTTGTATTTTAATTTTGTAATCTTTGGCTCTGTACTGTTGAAAGGCTCTCATTTCTGTGAGGTCTCCTTAGTAATGTATGTGACTTTTCATGTTGCAATATCACACAGATGGGACAGCC